GTGGGATCCGAACCCTCGGCGGGAGCGCCACCGCGCTTCCCAAGCGGCGCACTATAGCAGTGCGCCACCGGGCCAGCCCAGTAAAAATACTTTTGAATAAAGCAATAAGCCCTAAGAAACTCAACTTGAGATAAGACGTGTGATCCATCGATTTGAAGTTTTTTCTCTGCTGTGTACATTAGCCTGGCTGGAGCTGGGTCATGACTCGGATGCTCTGACGGCTATGCCAATAGCAGAGCCGGGCAGGAAGGGTGAAGGGGAAGAAATTATTTGTCATGAACCAACCAACTATCCCAAGTTAGAATCCTCAACTACGGCCAAAAAGACCTAAACTCTGCTCACAGCAGCTGGCTTTCTCACTGTGGTTAAACGATTGCTGTGTCACCTAAGCTGGCATCCATTAAATGCCCCAGCCAAAGAGAACAGGCAGGTAGCATAGGACCCATTCCAGACCAGACATTTCAGAATAAAGCAGATAAATTCATTACTGACACTCATGGGTTCCTGACTGCTGTCCTGGGTGAAGACACTGTCGCATTCTCTCTAGCAAATCTTGTTGGTCTCTGGACCCAATTACTTAGCCTAAGGAATGTTGCCTTTGCTAAGGAGAAGTAAGTTTGTGAGGGCTGCAAACTGATAAACAGTCTTGCTAACGTCATGCTCCAACCTTTGAGATAGCCGGTTCAGATTCTTGATAGATTTTAGAATCCAGTGAATCTGCTTTGATCCAGAGGCACTGCTAGTAAAGCTTCCAGAGAACTCCTGTTTAGACAGACACGTACAGCTTCTTCTCTATCCTGTTTGCACCTCAACAACTCTACCCTTTGATGGCAACAAACTGTATCCTTTAAAAATACCCAAATTACTCCAAAAGGATGTTTAGCCCTTAAAAAAGACCAAATTGTAAAATGAATCTGCTTGCACTGGCCCATAGGAATTCACCAACCCATCCCAGGAGAAGGGGATTCAGAGAAAGGAGTATTACACTGAGTGGCCACCATTAGCTTACTTTGAGAAAGGCTCTAGAGCTTCATTCTACAATTTCAGTTTTTAGCTGACTAATAAGAAACCTCCATCATTCCTTAGAGAGGCTCATTCAGTGTGAGAAACATCGTTTTGTCCCTTTTTGTGGTCCCTACGCAAGTGAACAGAGAAGACATACATTTATCCTAAGAGACAAAGGGATTTGATCCTAAGACTACTGACTCCAAGGACTGGTAAAAACCTTTAAAGGTCATCTGGTCTAGTTTCTCTCTTTAGGCAGATGAGCATCTAAGGCCACACTGGACAGATGTTTGTCTATTTCTTGAATACATCAGGGACAAAGACCATACAGACTTCCTGAATAGTCCATCCCAATGTTTCCAGAACTTGGTCTGCTTCTAGCAATAACTACTTCGACCCAACCCAAAGAACAAGCAGCTCTGGGAGAAAGTGGTAGATTCCTGTGTCCTAATGAAGTAGGATACAAAACCAAGGCGATCTCACCTGACCTCTAGGGAAAAAGGGAAGAAGAGAAATTGCAAAAATTACATTTGTTGGGAAGTATAAACAGTATTCCTTTGTGTCAACTTAATAAAAAATGCGGCCCTTGGGGACCTGGGGTGAACTCCAGGCTGCTGTAGCCCCACATGAGAATGGCTCGCCAGTCCTATGCTATGCTTCCTAAGGGCAACAGGGGTTGTCGATGACCAGCATGACATCGATGCCATAGGCCTCCAGCAGGTCCATAAGGAAGCTTCGGTCCCCTTGGGGGTCCAGACCCATGCCCCGGGCATGCTCTGCTGTCAGAGTTTTGTCTTGACTGGCGGACACCTCCAACAAAGTCTGAAATATCCGGTTGTTCTGTTCTAGGAAAAACCTGCATTTTTAAGACAAGACATAGGAAAGAGAGGAAAAAAAAGACAAAAAAGCTCACCAGATAATCCGCAAATGGGGAACCCAAACTATCTTGTTTGTTGAATGTACCTTTAAATGGCTTCAGAAATAAATCAAAAGTATCTTTTAAAAGAAGAAAACAAGGTAAAAGTTAAATTAAACATCTATTAAAGTGCCACTAAGGTTAGCAAAGGTGTAATTGGGCAAATTACACCTTTAAGCATGGTGTAATTGGGCAAATCTCTGAGCAAGCGATGGCCTCACTGTCGAAAATTTATTGTCCTGGTAAGAGGGAAGTTACTAGGGGTTTAAACAGAGCCTCATGGAGAGGCCCCATACACTGCCTTTCTCTCTTTCTGTTTAGTCATAAGCAGAAAAGAAAAGTTACGACAACAACAACAACAAATACCTGATAATGCAGTTCTGAGATCAATGCTTAATGTGAGAGATTGAAATTCACCTTCAAGGCCCTGCGTAGGTAATTAGAGACAGCAGCAGCAGAAAACAAGCCTTACTAGAGAAGAGAGAAGAGAGGCTTGGAAATGGTCAGCCCTGAGCCACTGCACACAGCCCAAGGCTGACACTGTCACACAGAAAAGGAGCAGCTCAGAGGAGCGGGGCAGGCATGGGGGTATTCCAAGGCCAGCAGCGCTGGAAGTGAAGGTTAAAGGAGAAAGGCAGGCACTGACACTGGCACAGTTGGCGTTGTCTTTGGGTGTTCTTGGATTACTCAGTTTTGGGGCAGAGAAAATATGCACAGAGCAAGATTTAAAAGTCACTGCTTCATAGTAGTACTACATGAATAAATGAGCCATGTTCAGAAAGGCATTCCCTATCTAGCTTAGCTGTGCTCCACAGAGCTCTCAGGCTCAGCAGAGGTGCCCACTGTCTAAAGCAGCTCTGGATGCTCAGGGATTTCAGATGCAATGGCACGTCAAACCTGAGACTGTGGCTCTGCTCAATCTCAAATGCCTCCCGATCTAAACAGCGAGCATGTATTAGGAAGTACACTATCAGAGTCAAGGCATTCCACCTTTGTAGAAACATCCATGTTAAGTTACAACATCAAAGCCAGAGACTGTGCTGACTACAAGTGTTGTTCCCCAACCGCATCCCAGGAAAGCTGGGAGAACTGTCTCCACTTCAATTACGGTTGTGTTCCTATCATAGGACACTTTCACACAGCTGCTTAGGAATGAAGTCAGTGCTGTTAGGTGTAAAGGCCACAGCACCTGCCCCTACCACCAACAGATCTGGGGGCAAGAGATTTCATTAGATTCGACAGTTACATTTTCAGATTATCCCATAATACTCAGCACAAGGAACTGCTCCATTTGAAGGAAGCAATGGAAGAGAAGTCCCTGAGTCCTGAGGGACAGACAGAGCTTCTATGCTGTGGAAACCCTGGATGTAAAAGCCCAACAGGAAAACAAACACTAGGATCCTGTTTACTCTTAATGACCTGCTCCTGCTTCTTTCCCCAACTCCTCTGGGTGCCCTTTAATGGGCTTTCAGGTCAGCTCTAAATGCCCTGGCAGCAGTAAAGGACATCCCTGGATGGCAGCAGGTAACATAGGAGGGATCCAGGTGGCCCAAAGCAGTTAGTGTTGAAGGGATCCTCAGGGAGGCCCTGGAACCTCTGCCCCAAGTGACTCACAACACAAAGAGGTCCTCTTCACAGGGATTGTAATCTTCTTCTACTTCCTGGGAATACAACAGCATCTGCCTGTTGAGAAGGAGATCGCCATCAGATGCTGGTACAGCTACAAGGACCCAAGTCATAGGTGAAGCCTCAGCCAGGCATCTGCAATGGGCACCACCTCCCAGGAAGCAGCACCAGCCAGAGCTGGCCTCCGTCCAAAGGCAGGGAGAGAAGGGATACGAAGGGAATGAACGGGGCTTGCACTCAAACCCCCTAGGGTTCAGGGCCGGTCCCACCCCTGCTCATCTCAGGCAAGTGACAATCTTTCCTAGTTGTCCATTAAATGGGGATGACATGCTACCATTTTCTTCATAGGATCACCAAATTATTTAGAATTAGATGAGATCATGCATAAGCAAGTTTCTAATATAGTGATCCACACATGGGAAATGCTCAATAAATGGTTATTTTAAATATGCACACATGGGCAAATCTAAACAAGGTCATGCTGGGAGTTTCTGGAAGCTAGCTGCCCAGGTTTGACAGACTCCAGTCCATCAGAAAGAAACCGCGTGTGCATTTGCCACCCCACTAGTGGGGCAATACCAGGGAGCCAGGCCTCAGCTGCACGGCTCCCTGCATTTGCATCTCCAGGCAGCATGCGGACTGGCAGAACTGTGAGGGAAGGGGCAGAGGGCAAGCTTTACAGAGAGACCCCTGCCCCAGGGCTGTCCTGAGAAAGGCCGAGCACCCAGTTCCCTGATACCTCTTTCTCAGTGGTGTGCTGACTGTGGCTGGCCCCCAGCTCACGTGGCACCCAGCCCCTGGTCCCCCAGCATGCGTGGCCCCCAGCTCACGTAGCACCCAGCCCCCGGTCCCCCAGCACACATTGCACCCAGCCCCCGGGCCCCCAGTCCCCGAGCGGCCACCTCTGCTCGTTAAGCCGCCGGTACTTCTCCCTGTCGGCGCTGTTGATCTTCAGCAGCGGCTGCAGGTGGTCGTGGTGCGTCTTCACATTCTGGTTATCCACGTAGACATCGTACAGCTCCCGCTTCTCCTCGAATATCTTCTCTGTGGTGCCTGTGGAGCCTGAGGTTGAGGAGGTGGGAACTGGCCCGACCCCGCCGGGGAAACAAGGAGTCCAGGTGCCCCGTGTGTGAGAGGACAGGAGGGCTCGGGCCTGGGGGCAGGATGAGGGGAGGGCCCCGTACTCACAGGCCACATAGGACACCTCTACCTCCAGGCTCTCGATGTCGGCCACATTCACGTAGAAGAAAGGCTTGGACTCAGGAACGGTGCCCCCGATGCCGGGCAGCGACACGTTGGCCAGGCAGCAGCAGCAGTACACTGCGGGCAGGGCAGAGGACGTGAGAGCAGAGCCTGCCCCCCACGGCCCTTCCTCCACGGAAGCCTGCTGGTCGCCACCCGCTCTGAATAGCTGCGGACGGGTGGCTTTGCTTTGTGTTGTCCTGTACACCTCAGGAACCAGGGGGTCCCGCACCACAGGACACTGAGGGGGCAAGCTTTCCAGAACCTGATTTCCTCAAGGTCACAGCCACAACATGCTAACCAAATCCAGTAGACAGTTTTCAGTCTTCCTCTGGCTGGTCTTGCTTAGAATCCGACACTGCTGACCCCACCTCAAAATGCTAGCCTTGAGGCCCTGGCACCTTGTAGTTCTCCGCCTTCTGACTGTTCCGCTCAGTCTCCTCTGTCCTTCCACCTTTACTGATCCTCCTCTCCTGCTCTGCACGCCTCTGCTCACTCACCCTCTCCCCAAGTGATGCTGTCCACCCCCTGCTGATGAGTACAGTCTAGATGCCACTCTCCAATCTCTACCTCCAGCCCACCTTTGCTCCAACACTCCTGACCCAGCCACACAAGGGGCTGGGGTACAACAAGGGTGGCAAGTTCCTTCTGAACTTGGTTATCAATGGAAAGACTCAGCAGTTTCTGTTCCAGGGAACTCACGAAGAGCCCTGACTTTGGCTTCTAGTTACCTCTATAGCACACAACGCCCACAGGTGGCGGAGAAAATATCAAAATGCGCTTTCGAAGTAAGGCAAATTTCCAGAGGATGAGGATCTGTTCTCCAAAGAACTTAATAAACTGAGACATGCAGCCAGCTGGGTGTGTGATCTGAAAAAATAAAAAGGGGGTCGGGGACGAGGAAGGAAGGAACAGCTTGTTAGAGACAACACTGAGAAGGATGCAACGATCCAGCACAGGTGTGTGCTGAACGCCCCCACGCCCCCATGGAAAACATCTGAAGTACCACTAAACAGATACATGCAAAATGATATTTTTTACTTTAAAAGTCTTATCTTTAAACTGGATTTCTATAAGACAACAGCTCTCCTAATACACTGAACTTTGAGTTTAGGGATCATAAATTACTTTACTTGGGAGACAGAGAGAGGTACAGAGGAAACAAACCTGAATTTAACTTATTAAAACTCAAAAATACAAGTCACTCCAAAGAGACAGTACACTTTAATAAGAAAATTCAACTCCAAAACATTATTGAGCACTGAAAGTAATAAAATGACAAGCAAACCATCCCAGACTAGATTCCCAAATATGTGGGGACCAGTCGCTATGCAAAGCGAGGTGTCTGCAGAGGTCACCGGTAGGAAGGACGCACAGAGCCTACTGACAGAATCACTGCTGCACTTCAGCTCAACCACTTTCCTTCCGATGCTGACTGCAAGGACACTGGCCACCCCTGAGGCTGCCTGCTAGGAGCCCTGAGCCAAGGAAGAGCCGAGTTCCAATCCTGACTGTCATTTACTGCCAGGGAGGCCTGGGGAAAGTTAGCTGAAGTTAGTTGGTTTCTGGTTCCCTTTCCTTATCTGCAAAATGGGGAGACCATCCCCCACCTCGTATGGTTATAAGGACCACCCAAGAAAAAACTTAATGAAATACTTAGCATGTAGGACTAGCCCACATGCAGTGACCGCAACTGTCACTGACAAACAAAGGCTTCAAACCAGGTGCCTGTCAGCTTGTTGGAAGGGAGGTCCCTACCATGCTAAAATGTCAGAGGTAAGAGGGCTCATCACCCAATAGGGATGCAGGTGACAGCGCTTCTGCGAGAGGCACCAGCAGCAAGGCCACTTGCCAGAGTTTAATGACTGAGAGCCCCCGGGGGTTCCCAACACCCAAGCCTGTGGGCCGCTTCTGCGCTCCGCCAGCGCTGACCAGGGCTGTCCTGGGCCCTCCAAAGCTGAGTCTAGACTACCCCAAGGCATGGCCCCACACCAATGCCGTTCACTGGCCCCACACTGGGGGAAGGCTGCCCTCCATGCAGCATGCCCTGCCCTGACTGTGACCCTCTGCCTCCTCCTCTGTACCACATCCCACATTAGCAGGAGGAGAGATGCCAAGCAACCAAGTGTGGTGGGATTCCTCCAATTACTATCTTTCATGAAAGTCAAACAGCAACCAGATAGGGAGGGAGCCCAAATGCATGCCGGGCCCTCCCAGCCTGCCCTCTGGTTATCTTCAAGCCCTTGACCTGTGCTTCCATCGCATAAAGGCCTGGCAGGGTTTGTACCAATGTGTCCTGGGCCTTTGGCTCCTAGAATAAATAACCAATCTTTATTTTTTTTTTTGAAAAAGATGATGGGTAAGGGGATTTTAACCCTTGACTTGGTGTTGTCAGCACCACGCTCTCCCAAGTGAGCCAACTGGCCATCC